CAAACTAGTTGCTCTTGATGCTATTGTTGATGTTAAATGCTTACCAACTGGATTTAATACAACACATCCGCCTTCACTAAATAATTGTGACTTATGCAATAAATCACTTATTGCAAATAATCATATGTATGATGGTGAAGTATTAATTTGTGATCATGGTTATCATTGGGGTTGCTTTGCATATTTAGAATATAAGTGTAGGTATTGTAAAGATTACTATAAGAAAGGGATTGAGACAAATGTTAAATCCTTTTTAAATCAGTTAGAAAAAGGCTCTATGACGTTTACTAAAGAAGATAGAAATTTGGAAGGAGAGGAAAAAAAAGTTCAGGAGGAGGAAGAAGAAATAGAAGTAATTAATGAAGATACACTTATATAAACAATGATAGAAAAAGAGTTGGCAATGGTAACGTTAATTAGTATTGGAAATACAAAGAGGATAATTAAAAAAAAAAATAAAAATAATACAATAATCTATTTTATTTTCACCTAAATTAAATTTTATGTAACAATATAGTTCGTTAATAATAATTTTTTATCATTTTTAATTATTAAATTACTCCTGAAATCAACCAGATCTAATTTGATCTCTACCATTAAAAAAGCAAATAAAAGGTTATTTCGATATTTGTAAAATTTTTTTTTGATAAAGCTTAGTAAGAAAAAAACCACTATATATGCGATATATTTCACAATTTCATATATATTTTATATATTTTATTATAAAAAGGATCGTTACAACTCATAACCTTTTAAAGAAATTCCACTATGCTTACATGAATACAAATCTAAAATAGCTCCTTGTAATTCTATAATACTGCTCTCTTCGTTTAACTATTTATCAAAAAAGTCACGCCACCTAATTCCATATAGGGTTCTCCTTTTCAAATGATACTCATAAAGACTTCTAAAACTCCTTCAGAAGTCCAATGTGATACTGTATAAGAAGGAATTTGTACTTGTTCAATACAAAATTGTGTATACGAATGTTCTAATCCAAAAAGTTCTTTTCCAGTATAGTTTGAAAATTTACCAATATCTAACCAAATTTTATTAAGATCACTAACACTATAATGTTTTACTAAAGCATTGTCAATAAATATTTGAATTGTATATTTTTCATATCCTATCTCCTAAACAAAAATTGACTTTTTATTATTAGAACTATATTAAAAAATAGATTTATATCCATCTCCCGCATAATTCTATTCTGGTTTCTTTGATTTTTCCATTCCTAACACAAATATTTTTAGTTTTTCTAAACTGAACATATATGGACGAAAAATAATATCACTAAGTAATTCCTTTACAATATTTGAATTATCAAAACCCATAACTGGCAGTCTAGAAAACTTGGCATTTGAACAAAATACTTCTTTATAGCAAGCGTTAATAGCTTCTGTGGAGAACTGCATACATCTGACTGCTTTTCTTCAGAAAAACAAAAAAATTCAGAAGAGTTAGGATATTCAGTACATCCTTTTACAACTGTGATTATAAAGTTACAATTATTCAAAATTGTAAGAGTTTTCATTCCTAATCGAATTGGAAGGAGAAAAGTATATGTAGAAGTTTTATTATTTGGTTATGTGAGCTACTAATTATAACAAAATAGTCCAAAATGTAAATTTTCTACAATTTGACCAGCAGAAATAAGTGTTATAGCGTATTCTTTATTTTTGCTCATTATTTTTATATGTTAAAGTGAGAGATTCTGAAAGACTCTAAAATAATTAAGCGTATTAACCCCAATTATCATATATGCCGATCTCTATTTTATACACAGATTACGAATTAAATTATTAAAAATTTAATCCTCAATTTTAAAATAAAGATTTTGGATTTTCAGATAAGTTTATAATTTAATTTAAAATTAATATTATAAATAATTTATGATTTAAATTAATTATTAATTTATTCTAATTAATATTTTATTAATATTTTTAAATTAATAATTTTTTAAAATATTATATTATAAATATTAGAAATTCAGTAATAATAATTATAATGTAATCTATTTAAGCTAAAGAAAGTTAAAAAGATTTTTTTATATATTTATAAGTTTAAATATAATAAAAAAAGATAAAATTCTTTCACAATAATAAAAAATTTACAATTTTGGTAATTAAAATAAAGTATAAATATTGATACCTTTTTATTCAGAATATATCTAAATAAACATTTTTAAATATTTTATTACATCTAAAATAATATGTAAAATGTTTTTTTTCTATTAATATGCATATGGCTTAAGAATTCATTAGAAGAATATCTATATAATTAAGTAAATATAACCCTCAAAGTGTCCCTTTTAAGTCTCTGATTCACAGTTAAGGGGTATAACAACCTAGTATTAGAAGCACATTCCTAATGGTTTACTACCTAGTATAGACCACCTGTAACAACTATATCTGTAATCACAGGCTTACTAGACCATCAGGTACTATTATCTTTGAATAGAGGGTTCACTTCAATTATAGAGCTTATCACACCCTATTTTTACTAATCTAATTTATAGGATTTGATCCTATTGATAACTACTGAGACTGTGAAATTAGGTTCTTTATATAGATGGTGATTTATATCTATAACATTAAATATACTTAAAATCGAATCCAGCCTCTACTCTTAATAACAGTTCAATTAGATAGTACTGTAGCGTGCAATGCAGTTTATTATCACTATAGCCTATCTGAAAGTGGTACTTAATCTACTAATTACTAGTTGACCACTTTCTTATTTGTGTAAGAGCTCTTGAATTTGAAGACATGAAACAGTATCCATTATAGACCTATTAGAGAAGGTCAAATTTTTATTGATCTCTGGCTTCATTTGCATTCATATATTCTTCAAACCCAGTATTTAGGCATGATCAATATCGATCAATAAATCAATTGATCAATTTCTAACTCATATTAGTATATACGCTCACTTATTCAATTATATATGAAATTTTTATGAAAATTATCTAGTTTTATGCCTCAGTTGAGACCTTTAACCTATGTCTATTACAGTATAATCTATAATAGGAGCTCAGTTATTATTAACTGAACTAGAAATACTAATATCTGATATGTAAAATGATTTTTTTCCTATTAATGTGCGTAGGCTTAAGGTCTGCTAGAGAAATACTTATTAACTAAGTAAATGTTACCCTTAAAGTGATCCTTTAAGGTCTTCGATCCTCAGTTAAGAAGTATAGCAACCTAGCATTAGAAGCATATCTTCAATAATTTACCGCCAAGTATAGACCACCTATAACAGCTATATCTGCAATTACAGACTCACTAGACCATTAAATACCATCATCTTTAGATAGAGAGTTCATATCAACCATAGAACTTGTCACATCCTATTTTTACCAATCTAATTTATAGGGTTTTACCCTATTAATGACTATTGAGATTATAAGATCAGGTTTTTTATATAGATAGTAATTTTTGTACTCATAATGTCAAATTCACCTGAGAATTGAATCCAGTCTTTAATCTTAGTAATAGTTTGATTGGATAGTGCTATAGTGTGTAATGCAGTCTATTATCACTATAGCCACCTATAGATAGTACCTTATTTACTAATTACTAATTAATCACTTCTTTGTAAGGGTTCTTGAATTTGAAGACGTAAGATAGTATCCATTACAGATCTATCAGCGATAGCTAAGTTTCTATCAATTTCTGATTTCATTTGCATCCACTTGTTCTTTAAACCTAGTATTTAAGCATGATCAATATCGATCAACTGATTGATCAACTAATTTCTAATACATATTAGTATATACATCCACTTATTCAGTTACATATGAAATTCTTATGAAAATTATCTAGTTTTATGTCTCAGCTGAGATTTGAACCTGTAAATATTGCAGTGTAACCTATAATAAGAGCTCAGTTATTATTAACTGAACTAAGGACATCAATCTCTAATATATAAAATGAATTTTTTTTTATAAGTGCGGTAGTCTCGCATGATCTTTATTAATATTTATAAATTTACAAAAAAGATAAAATAAAATAGAAAATACAAAAATATCTATAAACTAATCTAGTAAACTAAACTACTTTATCAATACCAACCTTGTACTTTACTGAATTAAACTATACATCAGAAAAGAAAAGAAAGCTAATTTAAACTAAAATACAGATATCAAACGTCTAAAAGGAAAGGCGTAATTACTGCTGTACTAGAAATTTGACTAGTGAGTACCATAGGCAATCATGATATGTAAAATGATTTGTAAAATTTAAAAAAGAATGATTAATTTTGTGTAATAGTAAAAAGATTTGCATTTATATTACTAAATTAAATGATTTGCATTTCTTATTTTTCAAATTTAGTAATCTAATTATCATTTAATTCTTTTAATTTTATTTTTCTTATTTTAAATTATTTTATTCATTTTATTATTTTATTTGATGTATTTATTTTATTATTTTATTTAATTTATTATTATTAGAATATATTTTATATTGTCATCGTAGAATTCTTCAACTCAGAGTGGTCACATTATCAAGTTTTTACTTGAAATTTCTAACTGCAGTTTACTGCAGTTAAGACGTTAGGATCCGCCTAACTCTTAACTTTACTAAATTTACACGTTGGACTTAAACAAATCTATCAAGTATGAAAACTTAAAAGACAAGATTATAAACAATTTAATTAAAGAATTTGGATGATGAACTCAATTACAAATAATGTGTAAGGATTACGTCAGACTATATGAAGACATAAAGAGGAAGAAAGATATAAGTTTTAAATGATTCTTTTATTAATATTAAAATTCAATTGTTAATCCGTAAAAGAGTTAATTTATAACATAAGCAAAAAGTCTATCTATTTATACAAAATTTTTTTTGTCATGGCTAATTAATTACTATGCTATAAACTAACTAATTTAGCAAAATAAAATATAAGTATACTGAAAATAATAAAAATACGTGAAATAATAAAAATAT